CTGTGATTGATTTTGGGGCTCTCGCCGTCCTCACCCATCGGAAGCGGCGGAGTGCGTAAGCGCGCCCGACCGGAGCAGAGCCGTCCAATCCGTGCTGTCCCACCCCCCCGGTGCTTTGCCCATGCTGCTGCGGCCTAGCAGAGTAGCCTGCCGCACGGCATCCTGGGATACGGTCCGGCTTTGTCAGGAGGAAAACGAGTGGTGAGCGACGAGGATGCCACAGGGAAAAGGGAGGAAAAAATGGGATGAATAAACCACAGTTCAGTCAGCTGGAGAAAAGCACCTTGTCATATGCACACATGCTCAGAGCACACGTCCGGACACTCAGCCAACACTGCCTGGCAACAAGAAATGCAGAGGGAAGAAAAGAGGATGTAGGTGTGTGAGTGATCCGTAGATTCTTTCGTTGGTCCTTTTCCAGGCGCTTTCTGGGTGCGGTAGTCCTTGAAGGAAAGCAGAGGATAGCGGAGAGAGAGACAGGTTGCCTTTCACGGGAGGGATGAGGAGGAAGAGGAGAGGCCTTCACGGTGTGTCCTCTCCCTTCTGCTGCAGTGTGACGGAGTGCGTACCACTGCTGCTGAGCATCTGCACAGCATCACGATGTCACAGAAGCCTCCTCCCTCCTCGGCCAATCATAGCCCAGCTCCCCTCGGCCGCACCTCCCACTGCAGGTGACAAGAGGAATGAGCCTGCAAAGGAGAGGAGATGGGGAAATCAGAGAGATGGAGGCAAGAGAATCTGGGATGCTGTGGAGCCAGAGATATTCACTGGAGTGAGACATATGACACGAGGAGACTGATGGGAAATGGAGCAAGATGACATCAAAAATGGGAGGGATGGAAGACGGAAAGCAGATGAAAGGAAATGCAAATGACGGAAGGACAAAAATACACTTTGGAGGTAAGCAAAAGGAGATGTACTGTACATGAATGTGAAAAGAGGTTTAACTGAATGAAAGGAAATAGTATGGGAAAATAAGGAAGACATGAAAGATGCTATGAAATCTTGCTGAGTTGTTCCCTCTAGTGTTTGTAGATATTAATACACAGGAGGATGGGAAAGTTTAGGATGGCACAATAACTAAATTGTCAAAAGTAAAAAAAGGAAATAGTAGATCTACAAGCATAAACATTTCTAGTCATCTGAACCACTTGTTTGAGTTTCTGTAAGGAAACAATGAGGTAACTAAAGCTATGCCAATTTAGTAATACAGATAATACACTTTTATAGTGTCATTCATAAGTGCATGATAAAGTCACAACAATTAAGCTGGGATAGAAAGAAAAACGTACAAATTAATAAATGCAATTAAGCAAATTAATTGGTCTCTCTCTCTTTATTTATTTTTAGAATGGTGGTTTTCATTTAATGAGTAAAATAAATTAACTGCAACCGAAAACCCCATTCGAGAGAGGATTGGATTTCGCCAGCGAAATGTCACTAAGCAAGGTAACGTTAGGCTAAATGTGACCGCACCTTTATGGTTATTTAAAAAAAAAAAAAGTATGAGGGGTATGAATGCAAGTTATTTATGATGCATTAATATGAACCTACAGTCTTTATTATTATTATTTTTTTTTACAATTCTATTTGGTGCCATGGCACAGAAAACGCTTAAAAGCAGCAAAAACCTGTTAGCCTATAAAACGGTTTAATAAACGCTTCTCAGAAGTTAATGTACTACTCTTACCACATGTATAGTACTTATGTAGGCCGATGAATTGAATGCAGAATTCAACTTCATCCGTGATAACCAGCTGACAGGAATTGCGTCAAGTCTCATCTCCCAGGTAAAGTTTGCCTTGGCTTTCTGTTTATCTATCTATCTATCTATCTATTTATTTTTATTTATTGACAGTACCAGTAGAGGCCGCTAATATCAAATCAATCTTCAAATAGATGTTTTGGCAGGGCAGTTTCACAAGAAAAATAAAATAAAAAGGAAAAAATAAAACAAAATAGTAAAATAAAATATACAGCAAGACATTGGTATTATACGTGTGAGTATTATACTTTACATAATTATTTTATACTTTGAAACTACTATACTTGCTTTAGTGGACTTAAAGTGGAAGAATTGCATCACTTTAACATAAGGACTTTTGGAATCCCCTCTTAAATGTGTTATAACCTGTTGCATTGTAGTAGTTTGCAGTTGTTAAACTTAGGGGAAAGGGAAGTGCTTTCTAGATAAAGGAATGTGGTTAAAGATTTTCTGCGTGCATCTGCAATTTTTTTTTTTAAACAAACACCCACCATAGCCTTGGAAATTCCTGCTAATGACATCTTTAGAGTCTGAAATGTCATAATCATAATCGGTTTATAATGAAAAAAAAATATTATGCAAATAATATACAAAGTATTATAATATGAGGCTTTAAATGTTTTAGCATTTTTTCCTAAACAAAGCTTTTCGTTTTTAGCACTCACTGTTGTTTCTACAGTCATTTTTAGTGCTATTTGTTTATTTATTCACTTATTTATTATATTATTTCTAAAGTTATTTTACAAAAAAGTCATTTCTACCTTATTAAACAGCACTGATAAAAAGTATTTTGTGGAGTAGTAAATACTGCAGAAAAACAAATGTAATTTCTACATTAAATAATTTTGTTTAGGCAATAATATTAAAAAAAGAGTAAATTCTATATTAATACTATATTTAAGCTTGTAGAAATAAAAATGTTGGAACTTAGTAGTATATTTTACTTGGAATTGTGCTCTTATATTTACAAGAATTCTTTAAGTAAAGTTCCCATCATGCACTGGGGCATGAATAATTAATAAGGTTAAATCTTTTGCTGTTTTCGAGTTGTATTTAGGTCATTCTACAGAATTGGTGAAAACTGCTGTCCCACAATGAAAAAACAAAAGCATTTAAGACTTCAAATCTTAGATGTTTACTAAGATCCTTCAATTATCTATTGAAACCCACAATAATATTTAAAATATCAGTAATCTTAATATATATAGAATCATCATTTATTGGGTACTTTCAATTGGGAGATGGCTGTCCCGAACCCTAAACTCTAAATTTCATCTTATGGAAACAGTATTGAATTTTTATTTATTTCTTTGTTTATTTTTTGCATTTTATTCCATTAAATGCATAAACATATCTTTTAGATTTTTTTTTTAAAGAAAAGTTAAGTAACTGAGTCTGATTTTAACTACACCCCTAAATGTATTATCAGGAAATATTCCTATCTCTCAAAGCTACAAGGTGTGAGTAGATAGGTCCGAAAGTCTGAAAATATGTGTGTAACTTTAAGGAACGTCACTACCGAACACCTTTTTTCTGCAATTAAGCACACTTTTTTGGGTGTTATTCCATAACACTTTTATATATGTGTACAACTGTTCAGAACTGTGCTAGCTAACCATGTGCTGATTTGCATATTTGAGGTAGGCTCAAAAATCTAAAATTGTCACTACCGAAACATTTGGTGAAGTTTTAGTTGTCTCGTCATTGTTTTTTGGGTGTTATTCCTTCAAATTGTCACTACCGAAACAGTCACAACCGAAACATGTCATCATTGCTTTGGTAGTGACAAAAGGAAACACATAATCCATTATTTGGGGGAAATAAAATTTTTTTAGTACAGTTTAGTACAATTTTATACAATTTTACATACAATTTTAGTATGTTTTGTGATGTGGTAGCTACCAAAACATTACTGTCACTACCGAAAATGTGCTGTCATGACCGAAACGTGGGATGTTTTGTCAAAAAGAACGTATACTGAATTATCAACTAAGATGTTATGATATTGTTTGGTTCTATGCATATCGAAACGAATGAATCCTTTAAAAGCTGTGTGATCAACTTGATGCCTTTTACAAAGAAAGATTGGATTCAAAATACAACAAATCACATAAATCACACTTGAAATGTTGTTAAAATTGCAATTGTTATTGATTTACCTCTAAAAACTTAATAGCAAAAAATGAATAGCAAAAAATACATTTACATGGTAGATGTTAACAAAATCTTTATAGGTCAATATAACCCTTCTAATTCTAAATTTGGGGAGAGGAAACATATTCCAAAACTTTCTGAAAACACAATGCGAGAATTAACTGCACAATTACTAGAAATGTGTACCTTGGATATTATACAATTTGCATACATACAACATTTGTGGAAAAAGACAAAAAAAAATTCCAAGACGTTTCTTTGCACCAATTCTGCAGAATGGCCCATTTACACTGTTTTATGGTCGCTGTTGTTGCTAGGTTTAGTAATTTGCTGTTTTGTGACATCTGGAGTTCATTTTCTACTCAATGACCCATTCATCCTCAAGCACTATCCACTGATTGTTACCGTCATTGTGTATTGTGTACCAAGTATTGAGGTCTCTGTGTTCATTTGGGTAATTTCTATATTGTGTAGACATATTATCTTGAAAAGGATAACAAGCTGTCTACTTGCTTACTTACATGCTTCAGTAGCATGGCTTTTTTCAGTGTTTTATTGTTTGAGTAAAGTTTACACACCATGACTGAAATGTACTTGAGAATTGAAGAGTAAACTTAAAATTATTAAGTAGAAATTACTCATCAAACTCTGAACACTTAAATTGACTTATTCCCTTTGCTAATTTTGTAACTTAGTTAAGTAGTTACTTAATTCCATACTTAAAATATACTTAACAAAATATGAGTGCAAAAACCTGCAAAAGAAAAGTTATGCAAATTTTACTTTTTTTTTTTTTTTTCAGTGAAACTGTGTCATGTTCAGTAATCACTGTGTCCTCATGCCCTGTTCCAGTCTTTAATCAGTTTGCTTATTTATCTAAGTTTGGATCATGGGGTTTGTCTATTTATGTCCACTTGACATTTTCTAATAGCTATTTGGCAGGTAGAGGCAGTTAAACACAAGAGTGCAAAGTCATTAATAGTTCTCTGGGACACTTATCCTGTTGCCTGAATGGGCATAACAAAACCTCTTGGTGTTATCTCTCAGATTAGTTTTATGTAACAGATTAGCCCCGACCTCCACTGTGCGGAGTTGTGAGGTTAGTGTAGCTGGTGACAGCAAAGCTTAATCCTCTGACCTTCCTTGAATACAGACCGTGCATCAGTGTTTTTCATCTCTCTTCATCGCTCCTTCAGGAAGGTCCAGCAACTTCTGCACCTTCGTTTGGAGAGCAGAAAGGTGAGAGAAAACATGCCATGTCTGCATACGGAGTCCCTGCCCTCTCTGCCTGCTGAAGGGAGGTATGGAGTCACCTCAGCCCGCAGGGGCTCTCAGGGGTCCAGATCCAAGTCAGCTAAAAAGGGGAAGAATGGAGAGAAGGGTTCATGTGTGGAGAGGAATGACAGAGTGAAAAAACAGAGTGTCATCACCAGTGCTGGATGGTTCTTCTCACCTCTCTGGACCCCAGGGGCCAAAACCCAGAGACTGGGATTCAGGATGGGAAAGGAAAGCGAGAAAGTGAAGGCATGGCTGGATGATCATTCAGATTCTGCCAGATCTTACTTTAGCAGATCCTCTAGGTGAGCAGTGTAGCTGTATCTGTTCTGAGAGAGTATGAAAAAGTTACATTTTGTGATGTGAGGCATTTTTAATCACGTTTTTTATTCTTCATGTCTTAAGTTTAAACATTGCATACAGTAGTTATACACTCTTAAGAAAAATGGTTGTAAATAACACACGATTAAAGTTCTTTGTGGTGCTGGATAGAACAGCAGATAAAGAAATAGTGCTTTATATAACGACCGTGGGAAGTCTCGGCTTAGTACTTTCAGTTATATATATATATAACTTTTATATATATATTAAAGTTTTGAAAGAAGTCTCTTAGCTCACCCAGGCTGTATTTATTTAATAAAAAATGCAGTAATATTGTGAGATATTAAGACAATTTCAGATAAGTGTTTTCTGTTTCAATATGCTTATAATTTATTTCAGTGATAGCGAAACTGAATTTTCAGCAGCCATTACTGTCTTCAGTGTCACATGTTCCTTCAAAAATCCTCATGATAAACTGATTTTCTGCTCAAGACACATTTATTATATCAGTGTAAAAAAAAGAAAGTTGTTTTAAAAAAAAGCTGCTTAATAGTTTTGTGGGAATTTTTTTTATTGACACATTTCATTGTTAATTTGTTGACTTAATATACTGTAAATATATATGTATGTGTGTGTGTGTGTGTATATACATATATATATATATATATATATATATATATATATATATATATATATATAACTAATATTTTATTTAATATGTTAACACTTTTTAATGATTTTTTTTTTATTAATATGGTACTACCAATTTTTTGCTTTTTAATTTCAATTAAGAACAGGAGCCTAGTGCGAGAGTGAATATCTTGACAAATAACTACTTCCACATATCAGGGTTTTGCTGTAAAAAATAATTTTAAATTGAAGGAACCATTAAGGAAACCTTCTCTCTGAGAGACACCATAAATGTGACCCTGGACCACAAAATCAGTCATAAGGGTCCATTTCTTTTTTATTAAAATTTATATAAGCTTTCCATTGATGTATGGTTTGTTAGGATAGGACAATATTTGGCTGAGATACAACTATTTGAAAATCTGGAATCTGAGGGTGCAAAAAAATCTAAATACTGACAAAATCGCCTTTAAAGTTGTCCAAATGAAGTTCTTAGCAACATGATCTTTACTTAATATCCTAATGATTTTTGGCATAAAAGAAAAATCGATCATTTTGACCCATACATTGTTTTTTTGGCTATTGCTACAAATATACCCAAGCGACTTGAGACTGGTTTTGTGGTCCAGGGTCACAAATGATCTCACAGACAGCAAAAATTCTGGCTTAATTTAGTACAAATTTCTATTTAAATTTGGTCTGGTGGATCAACAACATGCTGACCACCCATGCTGGTCTTTTTTTTGAACGGGGATGGCTTTATATTATATACTTTAGACATAGCTGTTCCCAAAGTATTACATTGCCTTTTACCCTCTGTTTTGTCTCTTTTCTTCTTAGACATTGGATGCATGGCTGTGTAGAAAGACCCCAAGCTGCCCAAACCCTCATAACTGAGCCAAGATCTAGGTTGACTATTCTTGGCAGACGCAGGGTTTCCCACCCCCTGTGTGGGCCCTCTCGAGGACATGTGCACCCTGCCACAATGGAAAGACCACACTCCTGCCTTTCTGTCCATCAGATCGATGATCCTGTGTGTCTGGATCGGGCCGGGGGTCGTTCTCCTCGATCACTGCAGTCTACATACTTTCCATTTTCACCTTGTGTGTCAAGGTCAAAGTGTTTGCCACATTCTCGGAGCTCCCCAAGACCAGCAGGACAGTGTAAAAGAGGCGAGTCCTGTAACTTCATGATGCGACTCTTTGGTGGTCTGATTAGACCTCTACAGAACAAAATCATCTGTCAGATCCTACAGCACCTTTCTGAGATCACTCAGGCTCAGCGCTGCTGTCTCTCCATGACAACGGTGGACAAAACAGGTGTAAAGTGTTTGGGTCCTCTCTTCCAATCAGATGAGGAGTCTGTCTACGGTTACACACAGGCAGAGTGGGACAAGTGCATTATGGGATACGTGGTCAGCACTGGGAGGCCACTTAACATCAGCGATGCCCGTGAGGTAATAAATGAGGGGTGTTCCGTGTCAAGTCTAATCATATAGCTGTGTCTCATTTAGAAGGCTGCACCCTCCGGAGGTCGAATCCTCTGGAGGTCGCATCCTCTATAGGATGCATATACGAAGTGTCCTCAACCTAGAATTAAACGAGACGGCCTTCGTAGGACAGGCGGAAAAGGAAACCGGAAGTATCACGTTGCTATGCCAACACATTTAGAGCATCTTTGCGCTCTCACACTACTTAAATGAAGGAAAATTATTTCTAAATTTGGAAAGTAATTTAAAAAAAATGGTTTTACTTGTTTTATTTTGTTCAGTGTTTGAGGAGCTGCAGCATACATACAGCAGGCATCTATTAGAGAAAAAAAGGAGGAGGTTATTAAAAACAAAGTTTATCCGTTTTGACCGAGGCGAATTAAGGTAAGTTGTAAACACCACATCTGCGCTTGTGTGTACGTTACATCTGCCGGCGCCGGCATTTTTCAAATTAACAACGGTTGTTCACGGCGACGCAAAGAATTGTGGGTTATCTGTAGCAGCGAAGGATACACCTCATGCACCCTCCGAATTCCTGTGAAAGAAGGTCGCATTCGAAGGTCGCATTCGGAGTGTCCTACTTGCTTTTCTGAAATGAGACAGCCTCGATGACGTATGCAGCCTTCGAATGCGACCTCCGGAGGACGCAGCCTTCTAAATGAGACACAGCTATAGTCAGTTTAGGTCACTGGTGGACTGTGGTCCAGGATTCCCCTTGTAACAGAAACACTAAGTTTAAGATTACTCAGGCTTTCCAGGACTGACCTGAACTAATTCTTTGTCCTAAAAATAGATTGAATTTTAATTCAAGGTGCTTTAAGTTTGCCATAATGTGCCAAGTTATTCAGAGCTTATCTTTTAACAGTTTGATCTGAGGTGACTTCAAAGATCTTACTGCACTATTCAATAGTGGCAAATGTGTAAACAAATAAATATTTATGATAATGTAATTCCAAAAATGAAAACAGAAATCAAAGTGTTAGCTAAATGTGTTTGAAAATGAAGATGAGGATGAGTGGTCTTGCTTCGATAAAGTTGAATATCTTAAATATAGTGTGCTGCCATTTAGATTTCAGTATTGTATTTTTTTATGGATGCACTGATATTAATAAACAGCCAATACCGATATATAGCCGATGGCCCATAAATGACAGAAATGTTTTGTCTAATTAAATTAAAATTAAAAACTAAAAAATAAATTATCTTAAATGCTACAATTAATTGAATTTATGCACCACAAAATAATGCAGTACAGTATGATAAGCAGATAAACCGATGAATGTCAAATATTACATTTCTAAATAAATTAAATATTAAAACACTATGTATTAAAATATTACAACTCTAAATAAATTAATATCAAAACAAAAAAAAACATTTTAAATGCTACACTGAAAAACATTTGATGTTGGATTTACTGTACTTAATTTAATTACTTAATTTAATATGAAATTTTAAAGTAGACAGATTGAAATTATATTTTCTTGTAAAACATACTCCAATAATCTTTGTCTTATTTACAGTTTAAAAAAATTATGTTTTACAGTGGCCAATTGAATTTAGGCCTTGCTACATTGCAGTATAATGTGAAAATGGAACATCATTATGAGGTTTGTTGAAGATTACATTTAACAGTGTTATATACTGAACATTACTTTTAAGTGAGCATTAGATGATGACAAAGGTAATCTCAGTGTATAAATGGGAAATGGGCATGCACAATCAAATATTTCATGTTGACATACCAATTAATTAGAAAAGAATAACGTATATGATACCAATATAATCATGCATATTTTTATTGGAGATGAGTAGGCATGGGAATAAGGGATGAGATTGTGTGTGCTTGTGAGTCTTTATACGCTTTGGGACATGTGCGTGGGAAGGGAAATCCTTCCCTAATCTAAGCTTTAACCCCTGATTTGGCACTGTGACAGAATGTGAGCAGAGAAGAAAGAGACAGAATGAATTGCAGAGATAGTAATATGTGCTTAACTGGCATTTCTTCTCTCAGAAGCCACTTAATTCTTATATTTAGGCCTCTCTATGTTTCCAACCCTGTTACACCTCTGAAATTTCTCACATTTGCCTGTGCAAACAGCCATAAAACAACATACGCTGTCATCACCTCAGAGATAACATAGTGACGCAAGGTTTTAAATTGATGTGGTTTACTAAATCACCTGAATGATTGATTTTAACTGTGCTTTTATAGGATCCAAGATTTCAGACTGAACTGTACGAGAGGGAAGAGGACAGACCCAAAAGTATTCTAAGTGTGCCTATCCTGAACCACAAAAAGGAGGTTGGACAATCCTAGATTATCCATTAATATATTATCATTATGTTATATGCCCAGATAAGCATTAGTACCATTAACAAGACTGATTGTATATCTTTTTTACATTATATTTATATTTGTGATATGACATATTGTCTGTTAAAGAAATGGTCCATTGTATATTGGCAGGTTATAGGTGTTGTCATGGCTGTAAACAAAAGCAGGCCAGGCACATGTGTAGGCAGCTTTTTCTCAGAACAAGATGAGAAAGTGAGTATTTGTCATAAATAAAGATAATCTGAAATTCAATAATATTGAGCACATGTGCATTTTTCATCAGTAGGCATAGTGCATTGAGTATGAATTATAGAAGAATTGTATGTGGCAGGCCACATATCTATAATAGATAACTAATGCTTTTTTTTTTATGTGACTTGAGTGAGTCAAAGAATGAGCCATCTTTTTGTCTCTAGGTGCTGTCGTCACACATGGTGTTGTTCGGACTGATCCTGGAAAACAGCCAACTGTGTGAAAGTTCTGAACAAGAGAGCAAACGCAACCAGGTGTCACGCAGACATTCGCTTAGACACTTTATCTAAAGTGACTTACTTATCTAAAATGATTCTTCTGAAGAATACATAACATGCTTATCACAAATAACTTTTTCTCTAGCTTGAAATAAGATACTTTAACAATATTATGTTAAAACAGAAAAGACACAATTTGCAATACAACCGCATGGGGAAAAAAACATAATTTGCAACTTTATCCTTAAAAATGACTGTATTGGGAAAGTGATGATATCAGATACTGTATGGGGTAAAAATATGGTACTAAGATATATGTAGAAACATTCACCATTATGAATGATTAACTTACATCCTACTTATAATTGTGCACTTGATTGACAGGTACTTTTGGAATTGGCCCAACTGGTGTCACATGACTACCCCTCTGTGGATGACATGCTCAGCAAACTGGCTGCTGTCATCCTGTCAATTACAAAAGCACAATTCTGTACTGTTTTCATCTCAGACGACAGCTCCACGGTAGTACAAGAATGAATCAAATTTATGGACAATGATTCGTTGTTAAAACAAAAAGGATGCTGTATTTGTTTATTGGTAACTTTAAAGCATGAAGCTCATAAAATTCTTTGAATACTGACCTACTAAAAAAACATCTGCACTTGATACTAAGAGATCTGTGTTTTTTTTTGTTGATGTCTTGCAGGGGCCTTTCTCAAAGATGGTCCATATAGAGCATAAAGAAAGCAATTGCTCTGACCAGTGTTCTACAAGGTAAATAAATGTAAATTTATAATTTGATCATGATATACACAAAATAACAAGTACCTATTTTTTTAAGCCAATGATGTTGAATGTCACATAATAATAGTGTTCAGTATTGCTCTTTAATACTAACAAACTAAAAAGGTATAACACATTCTGTATTCATATGCAGAGGTGTAAAGAGTACCTAAAAACCATACTTGAGTAAAAGTACAGATACCTTACAGTGAAAATCATTCCACTACACGTTACAAGTCACCAATTCCAAAACAACTTAAGTAAAAGTCTTAGAGTATCTGATTTTAACAGTACTTAAGTATTTTACTTATACTAAATATAGGCTTAAACTCAAAGATGCACTAGTCAAAGAGACATGCCAGTGATAAACTGTAACGTTGTGGAGAAGCTGCGGGAAACAGGCAGAGGCAAGGATCTATGTGCAGGTATTTCATGTAAAAACTAGAACAAACAATAAGGCAAAACCCAAAGGGAACAAAGAACAGAATGACTTGCAAACAGACAACCATTATATTCAACAACTCACAAGGAACTAAAGAAAAACTAGGGCTATATATATACACACAGGGGGCTAACAATCTTAACAAGATAAGACACACCTGGGGAGACTAATCAAGGGGAACCAATGAACAAACGGACTACAAACTGACTACAAACACCACGGGAGACAGGAAGTGACATAAAAGTCCAGGGCAAGGCACAGAGAGCATGAAACAAAAACAAGAAAGAGTTGATTTGTGAGGAGAGCAATCACGTTTATTTTCTAAAACCAAAATAAAACTGAACACCTCAAGATTACGAAACAAACCAAACAAAAAATAATATCTTTCAAAAAGGTCTCTTCAGTATAATGGATAAATAAAATAATGTTAAGTAACATTTAAAAGCCGAAGCCTTCTTGCAGTGGACGTGCTGGTTTGGGCCTCATTGCTAGCTGCAGTCATATCCTCATCTCATATATAAAACACCTCTGATTCACAAATATTTGCTAAGGAACTCGCATTCACATAAAGTAGTCTTGTTGACAAGTTTGGGTGAGTAAGGGCAAAACGCAGTACTTTCAGTGACCTGTAATAGGCAGTATCACGTCTTTTGTAGCAGAAATAAACTGCTGCAGAAAAAGCTAGGTCCATGCAAAATGTAATGTGTAACTGCAACACTCATTTCAAATGTAGTGGAGTAAAGAGTACAGATACTCATTCAGAAATGTAGTGAAGTAAAGAGTAAAAGTTGCTAACATCTTTGATACTTAGTACAACTACAAAGTAACTGAAAAGATACTCAAGTACAGTAACTAAGTACATTTACTCCAATACTTTACACCTCTGTTCATATGTACGTATATAATGAGTTTAGCCTAGTTAAATGTGTAACTGTAATCTTTAGGGATTATGACAGCAATGGCATCAGCTACATGTATGCCATGCATGTGCGAAACTCCATGGAGACGCTGAACATTATCAACAGACCTGTAAGTTTATCTGATTAATTCACTTTATCACTTTGCTAATTATATATTACCCATAACACATAGTGCTGGTATATATATTTTTTTCCTAATGAATTGATTGTGATCATATGGTCATGCAGAATAAGGCATTCATATGTGCATTATAAGTATCAATAAACAACCAATATGCTAGTAATATGCATGCTAATAAGCAACTAGTTAATAGTGAGAATTGGTCCCTTAACTAAACTGTTGCCTCTTTTTCTCTCCAAGGCCCAGATTTCTAATGTCTCTCAGATCAGGAGTTTGATCGGCACACCTCTGAGAGGCAAACAGAGAGATAATGTCATAGGTAAATATCCACAGTCTAGTGTTGATCCAACAAACCAAAGCTCTCAGTCATCATGCTTTCCCAAAGGATTTTTTTTGTTTCAGACTTTTCTCTTTTATAGCTCATATTATAATATATTGCATACAGTAAGAGTATAGTGCTATGCATTTAACATGGAAAACATAATTCAGATCATTGGGGTTTGAAAGAATTTGAGAAATTTCATACTGACTTTTGATCTTAGAAAACATGTCTCCATTTGCTCTCTTTTGAATCTCACTGATGCAAACAGATCTAATTTGTTATTTTACTTGGTTTAGATACAAATAGAGGCCATTCTGTGCATCTTTACAGGAATTTAGAGGGTTGATAATGACATTAGTATGAAAATAGTTTGTATAGACAGCATACACATTCTTTTTTTTTTTTTTACATTTTCTTCATATAGGTGTGTGCCAGCTAGTCAATAAAATGGTTTTCACTGAGACAGAAGTTTTTAGTCGAGCTGATGAGCACCTTCTGGAGGACTTTGCGGTGTACTGTGCTCTAGGATTACAAAAGTTCAATGCGCAGCAGATGGCAGATAAAACCAGAGCAAAGCTGGCTGTGACTAAAGAGGTAGGAAATGCCATCATATTCCTTTTGAGTCACTGGAAATCACTTCATACTGTAAGAATAATGAGTAAGTGATCTGAATACTGACTCAACAATCACACAACACCAGGATTGATTTACACAGGAAAATCTAAAATTTAAAAGTTCTACAGCAATAAACATACATTGTTTTTCTTTTTCTATTCACACTGTGTATGTATGGGTGTGTGTATGTGTGTGTGTATGTGTGTGTGTGTGTTTGCACCTATAGGTCTTATCTTATCAAATCTCTGCTTCACAAAAGGAAATTGATGCATTGGAGGTAACCATTCAAAAACTCTCTTTTTAGTACTTCCTTTTAATTTTCTTTAAAAAGTACCTCCAACCATTCTACATCTGCACATGATTGAATTAGCTTAGTCAAACTGTTGTGCAACTGCATTAAAGCCTGCGGATGTTGATGTGACAGAATTTGCAACTTCCTGTGGATAGAGCATAGTCTTGTGTATGTTTGTGGTTTTGTCAGGTGCACTTGAACACAGTAATTTTTTTCAATGTGTCATTTGTAAGTCTTAAAAATTTTCCCACTTCCATTTACTTTCCTCTCCTCTAGGAGGCCGTCATCCCATCAGCAGATGCCCTCTGTTTACTGGATTTTGGCTTCAGTGATTTTGATATGTCCCAGATTGCCATGACTCAGGCCGTTGTGCGCATGTTCCTGGATCTCAATTTGCCCCAGGATTTCAGTGTTGACTACAAGGTTTCTGGTTTAATCCTGCTTGGCTCTTCTAGCTAACGTCACTAACAATCCAGCTTTGAGTAATACTTTTGTGTAAGATGTGGATCTAGAACTGGTATTTCCTTTTCTTCTTCAGACCCTGTGTCAGTGGGTTTTGAGCGTACAGAAGTGCTACAGAAGCAATGTAGTCTATCATAACTGGAGTCACGCATTGCGCACAGCCCAGTGTATGTTTGCCATGCTGCAGACAAAGGAACTAAAGGTCAGAATTATAATCTGTTGATAAACAACTTGTCCCAATCTTTTAAACTCAGCAGTGCACACTGGGTTAATAAATTAAAAGGTTTATTCTGAGAAAAGTGGATTAAGCAAATTATTAGTTAATTAATCCCTGTCCTGCCAAATCTCTGATATTTCATTGCCCTCACATTCGGTGTCATTCCAAGCTTGCTTAATCTCTGATGTTCTTTAATCCAGAGTAATTTAAGCAGTCTGGAGGTTCTTGCTCTCATGATTGCCAGTCTGTGTCATGATCTGGACCACAGAGGAGTAAATAACTCTTACATAGAGAGGTAAACTACACTACACCAACCACCACTGTGCTAAAGAACATTCCTTGATGTTATTATAAACATCTGTCTACTACAAAGTATAGTGTTACACTGGCCTAACAAGTATTTGAACGTGTTTAAACATGTATGAATGCCATTGTTATTTATACAAGGCCATTTATACTTTTTAAAGTGTGGCAAGCACTTTTTGGGGCCACTCTGTAGTGCTGTGTCAGTATTTGAGATGCCACACTATGATTTCTAATTAATAACTACTTGAATAACTATTTAAGAGAACATAATACCTATACATATTTAAACATTGTTTCTTTGTAAATTGCCTTAATATTTTGTATCGGTAAATTACGGTTTAATAAATAGATACAATCTGTTGTGCATTTTTGACCCCCTATTTTTATTCTCTTTCTCTCTTTTCCCCTTTCTTCCTCTCTCTTTGTCTTAGGAGTAACCAGCCACTGGCACAACTGTATGGTCACTCGTCTCTGGAGCACCATCATTATGACATGTGTCTTCTCATTCTCAACAATCCCGTAAGATCCATCCATCCATCTATCCATAAAATCCATTCAATTCATCCATCCATCTTGTTGTCCAATCATCCATCCATCCACCTATCATTCACTCATTCATCTATCCATCCATCCTCCATCTTTCCATAACATCATCCATGTTTATAGCATCCATCCTTTCATCATTCACCCATCCATCCATCCATCTTTCACCCATTCATCTATTCATCCATCCATCCATCCTCCATCTGTCTATAACATCATCCATCTATTTATAGTATCCATCCATCCACCAATAACATCCATAAATCCATTCATCTTGTTGACCAGTCATCCATTCATAGCATCCGTCCATTGCATCCGTCCATTGCATCCATCCATTTATAGCATCCATCCATCCATAGCATCAATCTTTAACATTCATCCATAGTATCCATCCGTTCATAGCACCCATCCATCCATAATATCCATCCATTGCATCCTTAGAATTTGTCCGTCCATCCATCTGTCTGGCGTCCATTTATCTCAGTATTCATAAGTTTATTAATCCATGTCCATGCACAACTGTTTTAAACCCCTCAATATTCTTTTCTCTCAGGACAGTCAGATGCTCAGCTCGCTCTCATTGAATGAATACAGGGCCTGTGTGCAGATGATTGAGAAGAACATTCTTGCAACAGACCTTGCTATCTACATAGAGTAAGCATTAATCCTTTTCCAGTTCAAGCTGTAAACACAGCAGTTCACACAAAATACGTTAAAACAGAATTATCAAAATTGTATTAATTTTATGTGTTTGTTTATCTTTAGGAAGAGAACTAAGTTCTTTAAACTTGCTCAGAGTAACAGCTGTCTTTGGACAGACGAAGGACACAGAGAACTGCTTAGGTAAACATATACAAACATCTTTTTGAAGAATATGCACATTAATGCATGATATTCACACATTCATTAAAAAAAAATTATTAATACAAATTTTATTTCACCTGACCCACATTCTCATTCAAACTAACAAAAATATACATATATTTCTTATACTGTCTTCTTCTAACAACACATACACTCTATACATTTTTTGTCTACTTTTATCTGCTCTCGTTAGATCTAACTGTAACTGTAAGTGCAAGAACAGGAAACTTTCACCACATTTGTTTGCTCATGACCACTTCCTGTCTCTATATTAAAGGGGTCATATGATGCGATTTACATTTTTCCTTTCTCTTTGGAGTGTTACAAGCTCTTGGTGCATAAAGAAGATCTGTAAAGTTGCAAAGACTAAAGTCTCAAATCCAAAGAGATATTCTTTATAAAAGTTAAGAGTCAACCACGCCTACCTAAAATGACTTGTTCTAACACGCCCCCACGTCTACGTCACGATGTGGGAAGATTTGCATAATGCCGCCAAAATGTTCACGCAAAGAAAGAAGGCGTAACTTTTATTCTCGCTGTAGTATTGTTGTTGCCACTGCCGCCATGTCGTGAAGCTGCTGTGTGTTTCGTTGTGAAAGCGAAACTACTTTGTTTGACCTTCCAAAAGAGGACGATATCCGCTTTGTCATGCCTGGAGCTGATCCGAGCTGGTCGCTGAGGAAATACATCAACTTCGCGCTGTGGATCGCCGAATCAGCTTTCAGCGGAGTACAGCCCGGGGTCGTCACATGTGGTTGCCACAAGCCCGCCAGCCGCTCCTTCGTCGAATCTGCCTGCCACACCGTTCTCAAGCCCCCGGCCGTTCCTCACTCAAGCCCGCCCGCCGCCGCCTCTAACTCTAGGCCTCCCGGCCTCCGCTCACTAGCCCGCCGTGTGTGACGCTGTGTGTTTTGTTGTGAACGCAAAACTACTTTTTTGGCCCTCCAAAAGAGGACACGACTAGAAATCAGTGGTTAAGTTGTATTTACAACACTGTTCAAGGACCCTTCAACCCAAATATTCAGATGTGTGCAGCACATTTTAAGAGTACTCCTGGAAGAGTAACGTTAGACTAAATGCCGGCAGTTCTGACTCACGTAAGTACGTTTTCTACACAAAATAATGTTCTTTTTAGCAACATCATATGACCCCTTTAACGGATGTTCTTGATCTAAATAGGTCAATGCTAATGACAGCAAGTGACATATGTGCAATAACCAAACCATGGCCAGTTCAGAAGCGGGTGAGCATCTCCCCCACACACACACACACACACACACATTTACATACATGCATGCAGAAACACCACAACCGCACATGCATTCAAGCACACACACACACACACAGAAACACACACTTATATACGCACATACACAAATTTCTCTTTCTTTCTCTTCACTTTGGCAGATTGCTGAACTTGTAGCGACAGAATTTTATGCACAAGGAGATAGAGAAAAGTATGAATTAAATATTCAGCCAATGGTAAGTCTGTAATTCTATAACTTAAAGAGTTCTTTCTCTGCTTGTTTACTTTATTACTTTTTTTGTACAGGAAGACGTTATATTTAAGAGGGAGGGAGACATTATTTTGTAGTCCTTTTTTTTTTTTTTTTTTTTTACAAAATGTTACAGGTGTGTTGTTTAATCAGAAGTTTTATATCAAAGGTTGAATCTCTTTCTCACAGCACGTGATGGACCGTGAAAACTCCACTCGTTTACCTCACATGCAGGTTGACTATATTGATGGGATTTGCTCTCCGCTGTATGAGGTGAGGGCTTGTCTGCACACATCCTGTTAGAAATGTGTGTCAGTATGTGTGTTTAAGTGAATAAGAGACATTTCTGCTGCATGCCTTTGTGTTGCAAAAGAAGCATTCAATCTGTACTGTTTCTGTATTTTTCCTTCTTTTCCAGGCCCTGGCCAGCATTTGTGAGTCCTGGTCACCTCTAAAAGAAGGCTGCAGAAGGAACAGAAAACATTGGCAACAGCTGGCAGATGGCGGAGAGGAAGAAGAAAGGATAAAAATGAAAGGAAAAACAGATGGAGAAAGGGAAGAAGCAAGTTAAAACTATGTAAACTCTTGGTGAACCACTTATAGAGTGGACCAGCAAGACTCAAAGTATTATCTGATATTCAGATTATTACTTTATATGATGAAATTAAAGCCATTAAGCATGATAGCAAGATATGATTTATAGCCCTCACTCTCTGGCTGCCAGTCAACACTAAAGCAAAGAAAACAAGGAAAAAGAAGAAGAATTTAACAAAATAGTTCAATAATATGAAAGAGATGTGATTAAATACACACTCTTGCATTGTTGGTTTACCTATATCAACGCTGGTATACCGTAGTCCAAAACAACCGGTCATGCCCATCTATACTTGCCATTCTTGATTTTCAAAGGAGCCACAGAATTTACGTGAGAAATATCAAAAATTACTCAAGAGTAGTTATTGGTTGGCTTTGTCACACTAGTGAATCATTACTACATAATTTTATAGTTAATTAATTTTAAATCAAAACACATGTCAGCATTTTGTGTTAAAGGGATAGTTCACCCAAAAATTTAAATTCTGTCATTAATTACTCACCTTAATGTTCCAAACCCAGAAGAACTTTGTTCATCTTCGGAACACAAATTAGGATGTTTTTTATGAAATCTGATAGCTTTCTGACCCTCTATAGACAGCAATGTAACTGAAATGTTCCCAGGCCCAGAAACATTACTTTTTGGGTGAACTATGCCTTTAAGTTGTTTAGACAAGGAAGCACAACTTTTATTTTATTTTATGGAATAATGTTCATGTTCATTCCTCAAAAAGGATTCATTTTAATTAAGTTCATGAGCTGGTAAAACTGAAAAGCTAGAAACATTGTTTATAAAAGAATTTCTAACAATAAAGTGTTTTATTATAAAACATAATTAATGTATGTTATGTTTTTTAGAGCAAACTAATATTGTTGTCTTGGTAACAATTTAGATTAGGGAACACTATTCACTATCAACTATTTGCTTATTAGCATGCATATTACTAGCATATTGGCTGTTTATTAGTACTTATAAAGCACATATTAATGCCTTATTCTGCTTGACCATATTCTAGATCCCTTAACTCTAACCAATACCTAAACATAACTATTACAACAGCTAGCTTACTTACTATCAATAAGCAGCAAATTAGGAGTTTATTGAGGGAAAACCCTTAGTTAACATTGAATGTGTTCCCTAATCTAAAGTGTTATCATTGTCTTTATTTGATTTATTGCTATCCACATTGTCTATTGCACGTTGTCCTGTTAATCAAAAATCACAGCCATGAATATTTGCTGTAATATGCTGAAATGCTTGTCATTGTTCAACGTGCAATGAAATTAGCAGCAGATAACGGGGGTGTGCCTGACGGTGCAACAGAATGGTGTTTTCTCTTGATGTGGTCACAAGTCTTCACGTGACCTGTGGCAAAATGTGCAGACTTGTGCATATACATGCTTGCCAGATCTACCTTTCAAACCTACTCAGTACATGCAGGGCAATGCTCTGGGAGACTAACAGCAGAACAAGTTGCTTGCACATATAGATAAAAACCAACGTTCACTTTTTATAGAACGTTCAAATCCCCTTCACCATTACCTTTTTTTACCGTTTAACTAAGTTCTAAACATAATTTGCATTTGTATTAATTTTCATAATTATAACTAATGGAATAAATGTTATTATAAAGTGAAAGACACATTATCTATGAAATGCATTATATAGTGTTTTCTTCCTATAATAACCCAAGATCTAGTCAAGTCACCTTTATTTATATAGTGCTTTATACAATACAAATTGTGTCAAAGCAGCTTTACAGTGTCAAACAGGAAAGTAGTTTGTCAATAATGCAAGAGGACAATATCGTCATTTTTTTCAGTTAAAGTCAATTCATTGATGATTCGGTGATGTCATCATCAGTTCAACTCTCTTCCAATAGTGTCTGTGCAATCAGTCAAGCATCCCCAACTAAGCAAGCCAAAGTTGGCAGTGGCAAGGAATCAAAACTCCATCATCGATGACAGAAATAGGCTAGAGAAAAAAAAACCTTGGGAGAAACCAGGTTCAGTCGGGGGCCAGTTTTCCTCTGACCGGATGAAACCAGCATGGCGTGGTTTAATTCCAGGCTGCAACACAGGTCAGATTGAGCAAAGGACTCATTTGGTTCCTGTGGTCTTGTCCCGATGGCCATCTAGTTGACGTGGTCTTCCCAGGGGATCTGTCTTTGGGGCGCATATAGTTGACATGGTCTCAGCTGACATTCTCATTGCTGTCCAGGTCATCTCTAGGTGCTGATCCACCATCTGGTCTGGATATAGACTGGATCTAGATGGCTATGTGGCCTCGGAATAAGAATAAAAGAAACTAATATTAGCGTAGATGCCATTCTTTTTATGATGTAGCGAGTGCATCGGGTGTTATGGGAATGGTTCCCAGTTCCGGTTGACTTAATTAATGCAGCCTAACATTCCTTTAACGGATTTGAATTATAGAAATGTGATAGTGTGTTATGTGTAAGCCAGCAGACGTGAAGGACTACAATGTGATATGAGCTCACTCAAGTATTGACAAGCTAAACCATTCAGGGCTTTATAAGTAATTTAGCAAGTTTTTTAAATGTATCTGATGTTCAATAGGGAGGCAGTGTAGAGTTGACAGAACTGGGCTAATATGGTCAAACTTCTTGGTTCTAGTAAGAACTCTAGCTGCTGCATTTTGGACCAGCTGGAGTTTGTTTATTAAGCGCTCAAAGCAACCATCCAATAAAGCATTACAATAATCTAACCTTGAGGTCATGAATGCATGAATGAACGTTTCTGCATTTGACATTGAGAGCATAGGTCGTAATTTAAATAAATTTTTAAGAAGAAGAAAAAATAAGTTTTACAAGTGCTAGATTGCTATCAAATATTGCTATCAAATATTGCTAGATATTGCTAGATACATTTTTAAGAAGAAAAAAAAATCAGTTTTACAATAGCTAGATTGCTATCAAAGATTGCTATCAAATAGTACACCTAGGTTCCTAACTGATGACGAATAATTAACAGAGCACCCATCAAGTGTTAGACAGTGTTTTAGGTTATTACATGCAGAGGTTTTTGGTCCAATAATTAAAACCTCTGTTTTTTTTTTCTCAGAATTTAGCAGTAGGAAATTACCTCTGTTTTTTCCCCCCAGAATTTAGCAGTAGGAAATTACTAATCTTCCAGTTTTTTATATCAACTATGCATTCTGTTCGTTTTGCAAATTCATTTTTCATTGGGTCGCGAAGAAATATAAATCTGAGTATCATCAGCATAACAGTGAAAGCTAACACCATGTTTCCTGATAATATGTGAAAAGCAGCAGTCCTAGTACTGAGTCTTGTGGTACTCCATACTGTACTTGTGATCAAGACCCAAGAGTGAGAGGAAATCCTGTTTACAACAGTTAAATCTTATTTGGTCAAAAAGAAGTGAAGTGATCTCCAAGCCTTATATTATTTATAATTTTTTTTTTGTTTGCTTTTTGTTCCAGTGAAACACTGCTAGCCAGTGTTAAAAATGAATCACAAGGTTTTTTGGAAGTGGTTGAAGGAGAGCAGTTTTATTTCTCTTTTATATATATGTGTGTATATATATATATATGATGTTGTGAGTTTGGAGAATCCTTTTAGCAAAGAAAAAAAAAGACAAAATTAGTAAATATCTTAAATATAAAAAACAAATGCTGCAAATTAGTACAAAATCATTTTATTAAAAAATATAATAAATAAATACATAAATATAAATACAACACTCAACACTTATGTGAACAACACTCAGTATTGAACAAACTGTTTTAAACATAAAAAAGTAGGACTGTGCCCATCGGTACAGGTTAAAATGTCAGATGTGGCCATATCATTCATATCTTCATTCTCAACTTCACAGATGACCTTGACATTCATGAGGCTTTGCTGCAAAACAAAAAGGTATTTATTATAATAACATGGTTATTTCCTTGACAAATATGATGAGACCTGATACTTGTACTTTTTTATAACTTTGGACATCTCAAACACGTGGTGAGGGTTTGCTGACACTTACTTGGCAATGATCTTCTCAATGACCTTCTTAACCCAGGGTGCAGTAGGGTCCAGACAGATCTCTTTCCCAGATATCTTCAGGGTGGCACTGTTAAAAATAAGGAGAAAACCCAGTAAGAACCCTATTTGTGAAGTTACTGCATTAATCTGGATCATTATGTATTAATTCTGAGTTTGTAATTTGTAAGTGTTATAGCATTACTAGTGTGAAACTCACACGATCTCTGTGTATTTACAGTGTGAGCTTGGAGGGAAGAGCTCCACACTCTCTATCTGTTTTCCAATGCGTCGACTCTCAGTTTCAATGCAGCGACAGCGTGGATCTACACCCAGACCTCTAAGACTCATTCCTGAAAGCAAAATAATAAGTTAATGTTTGATCACATACATGCATGACTTTAAAGTGTATTTGTACTAACTATGGTTAATGATTACCAAGAAATATTAACAAATATTGCAATTCACTTACCTTCACCAATGGTCAGGAATCCAAGGGAAACGATAACAGAGACTAAAAAGATTTTGCAGTGCATTCTGTCCAAGTGAAATTTTGATTTACAAATGGAAACTAACAAAAAGTAAATCTAGTTTAGTTGCTAGATGCGTTCAGATCTGGTGAATAATGTCCACACTGTGGAACTTGCAGCTCTTTTAAAGCTCCGTCCTGGATATGAGTCAGAGAGTTGCGCAATATATTGGAGTCTTGAATATTTCAGGTTGGGAAAGTTTGTGCTGATGTCACGAGTAGGTCTATATGTGAGCCTCAACATGTCATTCATACGCAGGCCGGGGGGGGACAGTCGGACTTGAGTTTAGCGTGTATTATAGTCTTACTCATACAACTGCCTGCTGTTGCTTCTGATTGCTTTTAGATGGAAAAGCTGCCCATAACTCCTGGTCTAGGATGTGATTTCTTCGTAATAATAGCATAACGAAATAGATTTGGCAAACAATCCAGTGTATCTGCCCTTCTGCTTTGAAAAGCGCCAATGTATTTTTACAATGCATTTTCACAGCGGTGAGCAATGTAGCCAATCACAGACATGTTTGTAGATTTCTAAAGCACAATGGCCAATCAGAGGTGTTTAGGTTGGTATCCACACACTCACCGCTCCAGTGACCGTTTTTTGTCCAGTGCTGAGTCTTATCATGCGCGTAAACTTCTTTCTAACAAATACATTAAAAAAGTTTCATCGTGTTGTCACGTTCATAGTTTTTTTTTTGGAACTTTGTTAGATCGTGATGAATGAGTGACAGTTTTTAATAAATTTAAAGGGAGCACTCTTTGCATGCTGTATACGATAATATATTCAGAATTTAAATAAAACTTGTATTTTTCATGCTTGACAAGCGGTCATGTACGACACAGAGATAGCTTCTAGGCTACACTATATAGAAAACGATAATAATTTCAGAAGCACAGATGTGATTCTGCAACCAAGCCTGGTCCAAAGGCAGGATTTAGGTAAGAAAATGGTTATTATTGGCTGCCACGCCAAATCATGCACACCTGCTTGCTTCTCTGTTTAATTTAACAGTGTTTTTGTGAACATATATATATGCTTTAATAACAAATAATTGTAGCCTAACACTTTAAAATAAGGTTCGATAAGTTAATGTTAGTTATGTATTAAAGTGTATTAACGTGTTAGTTAATTATTGTAAAATGTTACATAAATAATGTATTTCGAGCGTTCAAAAATATGAACTGGACTGGAGTATAGTCTCAACAACCTCAGTTGAGAGACCAGATGCTAGGAGCTGTGCCCCCTCAGGGGCCATGCCCACAGCTTCCATAACTCTGCCAGAACTCCCGGGAGCAGAGCGATCGAGGGAAAAGCGTACAGACGAAGCCTCGGCCACGTCTGCACCATAATGAGGGAGAACCAGAGAGGACAGTGTGTCGTTTCCTGTGACGCAAATAGATCCACTTCCGCCTGGCCAAATTCCCTCCAAATGCGCTCCACCACCTCGGGGTGGAGCCTCCATCCCCCGGGCCTCAGCCCCAGTCTCGACAGGATATCTGCCCCCTGATTTAGATACCCAGGGATGTAAACTGCTCTTAGAGAGAGGAGCTTCCCCTGAGCCCACAGAAGGATCTGGCGCGCCAGCTTGTA